GAGTTTTGGAACCATAATACATAGGATGGGATGAATACAATAGGCCTTCCTTAAAATGGAATCTAATAACACTACGTCATAAAGATTGGGAAGCAACGAGAAGCCTTAAAGTCTACGCTCAGTAGGAGAGCAGATGTGAGCTACGAAGTAAATAAAGGTAATTGAAGGTATGAAGACCAAGATGGTGTGGCCTTTTGTGTGGCCGCATTCTCCTTTCGTTGTATAGAAGTTGTTTGACCTTGTTTTCGCAACTTGGTCATGCTGGTAGGAAGACTTAGAGGAACGCATCTAGTCTGGAGTCCATTGTATGCATCATCATTTCCATCATGGTTCAACCCAAACAAATATAATCATTTGCTAGGTAATAAGGGTGAAACAAACTACAAGTTCCATGCCCATTTAGATGTGCACATCGGTCGGAAACATGGAAGTCCATCGATGTTCTACCCACTCAATAATTGAGAGAAATCTCTATTTCCCATGAGTGGTTCAAAGAATCAGTCGATGAAACAGATTATTTTGATCCAGAATCCTGTCATTCATCTAACCAGGTGTTCAAGAACTGTCATTAACTATGGGTTAACGAATAGTCTGCAGTAATTCGTGACGTCTTAGTTCATTTCTTAAAGCTTTACGAATTTGGAAGACCGTTCAAAGGACAAACATTTACTAATTAAGCCCCTTGGTTATGGAACGATTCCCAATTTCCAGGCTCGGGATCCCATTTCTCCTGATGCACAATCATGTAAGCAACTAACTACATCCCTTTCCGTTAGGAGTGCACTTACAGCGTACCATCTGAAAGTAAGCATGAATGCTTTGGCCGCTTTTATGTCCGCTGAAAAGAGAGAAGGAAAAATAGAAGAGGGAGAGTGTCGGTACGACTGCTAGATGGAGAGAGTGAACTGTTTCCAGACAGAAACTTGCCCGTCCCCACGATAAGTGACCTTTGCAAATATTTTTAGCTCCTGGTTCTAAAATGTAAAGAGATTCAGATAGCTATATAGACATATAGACAGATATACACATGCATGCAGGATACAGACAAACAGACATATATACAGACACAAACAAATGTACATCGACAAGTATAGACAGATAACCAGCAAAATTGGATTTGAGAAATATTGTAGGTCGCAGAAGTAGAAGGTAAGTGACTTATTAGGACTACATTTTGGCTGAGGATATTGTCTGATTTTTGTAATAAGCCCAGGCCGTAAAGGTATACAATGAAGAGAGACAAAATTTTATGGTTCTGTTTTTAAGTTAAGATTAACGTTCAGGGTGTCCAGGGATAAGCTAATTCACAAAACCTCTGCAGTGAATATGAAGAGTACTTATAAAATCGCACAAGCGAATAGAGCAACATGTCAAGTCAGGTAAAGTGATGCCTATTTTTAGCATGACTTCAGCTGTCTCAGAATACTCACTCTTAGACCATAGGAATGGTCAAATTAGCTTTCTTTTATTTCTCTCTGGGCCCAGATATCGTGCATCGGTTGTGGGTTCACACCGCAGACTTGCTGTTAGCTCGCTAGAATTACGAGATGGCGATACGCGAGATCCGCCGCCACATTTGGCAAAGGACGATGATTTTGAACTGCCACTGGGTTCAATTAGTCCATCCGACCTTCTTTAACGGTTTACTAAAATGAGGCACTCTGACAGTGACAGGTGACCTAGGCTGCTCAAAGATGACCAGGTAAATGCACAACTTTGGGCTCAAAATTAATACGAGTCGGTAAAACAGCTGCAAGCCCACATTTTATTCGCATTCTATCAAAAAATAATTTATTAAAAACAAAACTATTTGCGAGAGTTCCATGAGGTATCGAGAGGTCTTTCGTGAACATCAGTTTAAGCTCGCCTGTCTTGAGCTTACAAGCGAATTCTTTTTAGTTAACTATCAGGGCTTCTTTATGAACCATCCAAAGAAATACTGATCAAACAGAAAGCTATTCAGATTATTCGAAAGGCAGAATACTTTCTGATGGATGGAATAAACATCAAAATGATAGCCGTGACAGAGCGTGGAAATGGAAAGAACTTATGATCGTAATTTAACATTGTGCTACAAAATACAACTTCGAGTAGTAAGAATGAGATATAAACTTTGTAACTAATTATTTTAGATCCAGAAAATAATTTTGAAAATAGGAATCCCAAGTCGGCAGAGCAGGGAGAGGCTGAAGACCCACACAAGCTATTTCGAAGCGGAGGTAAGATAAGCTGGCCAATGCAGACATACAGATTATCCGCCAGAATTGCCTACATGGAATAATGGACCAGGTGAGCATGGTTGTCACAAATTAGGAGAGTCTCGGGTAGCTAGCCAACGAACGCTTACCCGGCTAGCCAGAAGTGAAGATAATAGGTATAAAGGGAATTCGCCAGTTTAGACAAGCGTATCCGTGATTATTGAAGGCGAAATTATTTTACTGAAATATTCACTAGGATTCGCTGCCAAAGTAAGGCACACGATGGGAAAAGTGGGGGG